CTCCAAGATCGCTATTAGAGTTACTGGCATCAAGCCAAATTTCACCTAATCTGTATCTGTACAGTTGGTTTTACTTGTCTATATGTAATATCTTACAAAGGCAACATGCACTAGTGAAAGAATATAGAAACATTATGAACAACTCACTTCTACCAGTGCTTGCTGACCCTCCTGATTTATCAGCCTGAAGGTTCAAATCTAGGAAGCTTCCACTGGCACTTGCACAACATCTGCTCAACAACTTTGACATCAATTCAATCCAATTCAATGTATTACAGTCATAGACCAAAGACTAGAACAAAAAAAAACTCCCAACACTCAGTAAATATACAATTTAAAATTTTACTATAAAATATAATAAATAACAGCTAAAATCTATTATAAAATCCAGTCTGTCAATTATACATGGTCTAATTATACTAAAATTATAATCCATACTTATTCCTTTCCCTTTTAGCATTAAACTGACTATGGACCACATAGTTCATGGATTGTAATTTTAGTAGAGTTAGACCATGTATAATTGACAGACTGGCATCACTTCCCACCGGAAAGCAAAATGGGTTGCTAAACATCCAGGCATAGGAAGACATAAATGACCCCTCAAAAAAGGTACCAGGATTTGAATCACCATGCCAGGACAATCTGAATCAGATTCACACCTTACATGTCATCTGCTGGGACTCACTGTATAAATGCGGCATAAGATGGCTGTGAGGTCCCATGTCAAACTGTAGAGCAGGGGTGAGATTCTACCAGTTCGCACCTATTCTCTAGAATCGGTTGTTAACATTATAAGCAGTTCGGAGAACCGGTTGTTAGAAGAAATTACTGGCCTAATCCTGTAAGGAAGACAGGAAGGAAACATTCTGGTGTTTCTTACAGAAACTGCCTCTCCGTTAACCCTTATTACATTCTTGGCAGGACTAGACTTCCTGTCTCAGGAACGTCTCTGGAATTTTTTTCCCCCTCCTTTCCTGGTACTTTGCTTGTGTGGAGTGACCATTTGAAGTTACAATGGCACTGAAAAAAGTGACTTATGACCATTTTTCACACTTACGACTGTTGCAGCATCCCCACAGTCATGAGAAGCCAGGCGAGGAGATGCGTGCCTCGATGTGAGTGACATTGAGTTGGCCACGCCCAGCCAATAACATGACCACCAAGCCATGTCCACCAAGTCACATGACCACCAAGCCACGCCCACTACCTAAGCCAAACCCACAGAACCGGTTGTTAAAAATTTGAATCCCACCCCTGCTGTAGAGCACATTGTGATCAACTGTAACCTGACAACATATACAGGCCCAGTATCTGATTTTTTTTTCATATAAATGATGCTGTGTGTCAGTGGTTAGGTGGCTTAGACCAGTGGTGGCTAACCTTTTTGAGGTCCCATGCCGATAATTACGCGCACGCTTACCTGCCCGTTCTCACGTGCCATCACCCAGAAGGCAACGTGCGTGGGTCCCCCATGCCTCCTGCACATGCGCGCGTGACCCACGCTGCGTACTTCTGCGTATGCATGAGTGTCTCCTGTGCCCTGCTGTACCGCCGCGCATTCACGCCAGATACCCGACAATCAGCTGTCAGGTGGGTGATGCACATGCATGCGCAGTAGACCTTTTCTGGGCGAGTGCTCGCGTGCCAGCAGTAGTGGCTCTGCATGTCACTTCCGGCATGCGTGCCATAGGTTCGCCATCAGAGGCCTAGACATTAATATCTGAATACAGATCTTTCTAAAAAATGTATTTTATGTTTTATTAATCTAGGTGAAATATTAATATGGCAAATCCATGTATGATATGCCATATGCTACATAAATGAACATTCCTCTCTATCCAAATATTAACAACCTCCAGACAACCAGATTCTCAATAGCATCACTTGGTTGGCTAGAAGTCAAGATACACAATTGGGTGTCTGCATATTGATAAAACCTGAGCCCATGTCCATAGATGATCTTAACCAGAAGCCTCATACGGATATTAAATAGGAACAGGGAGTGTTGAACTCTGAAGAAACCATGAAAAAGACTCTCTGAGTCAATTTCTCCTCTCACTTACCCATTGAAAATAACCTCAAAAAAGGAAAACCATGGAAACATTGTTTCCCTCCCCCCCTTTTCAATCCAAGAAGTTGGAAAAGGATACCATAATTGACTCTATCAGAGATTAACTAGTGATCAAGCAGGAACAGGAGAGTCACAGGCTCCATACTGGTCAACCAGAGGTGACCACAAGCACAGTTAATGCTATCTCTGTACAAGGCCTGAAACCTGACTGAAAATGCTCCAGCTAATCTACTTCTTCCAGAGCCCTTGAAGTTATAGACCTATCATCTTCTCTACATCATTTCCCAAATATTGCTATCCTTCTATTTTAGGTAAATTGTATTACTTTGTAATTATTCAAATATCTTAAATACGTTTGCAATTAACCTATCAAGATCAACTATCCCATTTACTATGCATATACCACCCAAAAAAGTTTCACCTGCAATTTTAAATAGAGGTGTGGGTTGTTTTTTTTCAGTTTTGTTAGAACCAAGTACTTGCAAGAGTTTCAAGGAAGACAGATAATAACTTACAGATAATAACTAATCAGATCCAAAAATGATGTAAGTTGAAACCTGGAAAATGTGTAACAGTATTGTTACATGTAAGCTGAACCTTTAAAAAAAGAGATCTAAGTGCCTGACCATTTCTCAAGAAATATACCATTAATTTGTCAAATTGTTTAAAATACCTTAAGTGGAATTAACAGAGAAAATATATTTATTTTTATACATTTATTCTCTTCAACTTGAAAATATTATTCTCAGCTAAACAGGGCATTTCCTTAGAAATGACTGTTCCCAGAACAGTAAACAAAGCCAAAAGAATAATAAAAATCTCTTTAGAAAGAAAAATCTACATCTGATTTTCAGCAACAGATTGCTCATCCATGTTTTTTTGGTCAGAATTTAAATTAGGCTGGTTTTTTAAACAATATAATCAAATATTCTGGATTACTACTTATGATATGATTTTTCTAGGTCCTTTTCTTTTATTATAATTATTTATTATACGTATTACATAATTAACAGAAGTAATATATTACTACAGTTATATTCATTTTTGTATTTATTTTATTAGGCTTATAGGCCTCTTCAATTGTGAACTTTGGAGCAACATACCTCCCACCTTAAATCAATTAAAATAATAAAAACACTTTATCAAAATATCATAATCAACATATAAAGAACACCAGAAACAATAAATTAATCAGTTCAACCAAAACCAAAAAGAAACCTTCTATTGCTAGAGGTAACAAATGTGCATGTTTACTCTCTCTTCTGTTAGTTAATAAAATAAAAAAGACCTTCTGATATTCCCTAATTTAAATTCAAACTCATAAGAAATTAACTTCTTTATTATTTATCTCATACTGGAAAATTCATTGTATATACTACCACCATCAAACACAGTCACTTAGTTTAATTATTGGGCATTTTAATGTTTTAATTTTAATGTTTTCTTTATGTTGTTGTATGATCTCTTGTCTTCAGCATTTGTGAACTGTTTTTAACCAATGTGGAATAAAATAAGTCTTTCTGTATAACCTGGGAAGAATGTGCTTGTTTTTCAGTCCAAAGCATACTAGATCAGCATTGTTTTAAAAGGATATAAATCTTAGTGGAAAATATGAAAGATATACAGTATCATCAATACTGCAGCAACGTTAGGACAAATATCAGAATCTCATTAACATAACAAGATTAACTTTCCCTTTGTGTAAAACAGATCCTGAAAACAATTGAAGTGTATTAACCTGTCATTTTAATCCCTTATTTCTATAGAAAATATATCTGATTAATTATTTAAAGACAAATTTCACCAAGTGGATACAACAAATGCTTGAGACCAAGAGTATCACTGAGATGTGTTTCTGAAAATCATTTTAGAACCTGTCTATGCATAAAATCTTAAAACATCAGAAACAGACTACACAGATTTTAGTGTAGCCAAAAGGAACAAACAGAAGAGAAGTGATTACTATTCATGAACAACCCAGTTAAAAATTTCAAAGGACAAATTGTATCTGCCTGACCCTGGCTGTTTGCAAGACTGCTTAGACTGCTCCTTGTTCACCTCTACAAAAGGTTTCCTGCCAAAAAAAATAGAGCAGTTCAGAGTGATAACATGCAAAGTAGCTTTCCCCAGATCTCTTTTGGAACCAACTTGATTAATGAAATTACATGTGTGTATGAGTGTATGTATGTATGTGCCAGTGTGCCGATGCCAACAATAAGCACTGCTTTCAGTAATAAATGCTGTTAAATAAAGTGAGTGAGATTATACTCATTATGATAGAAATCTAAACTTCCATAACTCTACCTAAACATGCTTCTTCTCTTCTGCATGGTTTTATCCCATTCAGCTGCCATGCATCACGTCCTTTCATGTATGTTAACACCACAAGAACAGAGGAACAGCGGCGATGTTTAGCCAGCACTAACCTCAAGACCAAGCAGGAAAAAACAGGTAAGCCTCTCCCGAGCAATTTATTCAAGGCACTCCTTCCTCCCTCTGCAGGAACCTGTGCATATACCGTAGTACCGTTCCGTCTTGCAGTCTAATGCAGTTCCCATTCCAGAAAGATCCCATCCACCACACCCAGAATGCCTGTCCGGATTGGGTTTTGTAGTCCCCAAAAGCCAGACCTAAGTAGAACAGAGCAGTTCCAAACCGGCAAGCAAGCGGAAGACCCACGCAGACAGCCGTCCCCATCTGCTGGGTTCATATGCACGTCCATCCACCCGCTCCCTCCAGACCGGTCTTGGCGCAGCAAACGCAGCCTTGTCCCAAACGTGGGCGAGGCATCCCGGAGAAGGACCGGCGCTCCGGTATTCCAGCGGCTTAAAGCTGCTCTGCGGGGAAATCGCCTGCCTGCTCCCGCCCCGCTGTGGGCGATACTCCCTAAGTAGGTAAGCAGCCAACCGCCCGCTAGCCGCCTCACCGTTGGCGACACGGCGAACCGCTCCAGAAACCTGTATCGCCACTGCTGCCAAGCGCTCCCCCGGCACAGAGAGGCCGCCGCCGCCGCCGCCGCCGCCGCCATCATACTTGGCCGCGATTCTGTTCTCGGTGGCTAGGCCGCCCTTTCACCTCGCGCTCCCTGGACCAATCAGACGCGCCCTTTCCCGGCGGCACCCACTCGCCTTCGCCCCGCCTCTTGGGCTCGCGTCTCGCCTGAGGGAGGCGGCGGAGGCCGGCACGCTTTTTCTCGGAGCGGCTCCGGGCGCGTGGAGGAGGCGGCGACGACGACCCGCGTAGGGAAGACAGGGCTGCGGTGACCTTGGTCCGTGAGAGCTCACAAGTAGAGCCCTGTGGTCAGTGTGCTGTGCAGCTGGGCCTAAAATCCACTGGTAGGGAGGAAAAGGCGTGGATGGAAACCCTAAAGCAGGGGTGTCCAACCTTGGCAACTTTAAGACTTGTGGACTTCAACTCCCAGAATTCCTCAGCCAGCACAGCTGGCTGAGGAATTCTG